AAGTAAAAAGGAATTGCCAATATATATGAAAAGATAAATAACCTCATTAATATTTAAAGATGCTCATTAAAACCACATGAGCATTTATATCCACCAGATAGTAATCATTAAAAAACATGAAAATGCATAATATTAGGAGGACAGGGAGAAACAATGTAAATTGGTACAATCACTAGACAACAATTTGACACCAGTTTCCTATTCATTCCATTCCTCCAGAAACCTACACACAAACACAAGTGGACACATACAAGAAAGATCAAAATAGCATTGTTTCTATTATCCCCAAGGTGGAAACAACTTAAATATCAAAAGATAGGAGAATAGTTAAATAAATTGTGGTACATTCATATGATGGAAAAGTATACAGGAGGGAAAATAGGCAAACTGTAGAACTAGTTTGGAATGGTATATATGAATCTTAGAAATAAAGAGTAGGGGGAAAAAGTCACACAAAATCTATGGCAATATAATCATAAAATTCAAAACAAGAAAATCTAAATAATAAATAACTCAGGAACACCTACCTGTAAAATAGGGATATATTTAAAAAGTAAAGGAATTTTTTAAAGCACACTTGCAGATTGGAGTACCACTGCATAAAAAGCAGGAGTGAGACTAGGAAAGGACCCATAAAAAGCTCCCAAACTCTGGAGTAATAGGCTAGTTCTTAATTGATGGGTTAGTGGATATTCACATTGTTATTATGCTCCACAGTTTCTATATTATATATGTCCATCTACAGCTGTATGTGATCTATATACCACATACTTGTACATTTTTAAAAATTATGTTTAAGTTTTAAAATGAAAAATTAAATACAACGAACTGCTGCTTAACAAAGGCCAAATATTCAATAGAAAAAGGACAATCTTTTTAAGAAATAGTGCTGGAACGACAAGATATATATATAGAAAAAAAATCAACCTCAACCCCTACATTTGAGACAGATTATAGGCCTAAATGTAAAAGTTAAAACTGTAAGTCTTATACAAGAAAATATAACAATATCTTTGCAAACTTAGGCTAGATAAAGAATTCTTAGACATGTTAAAAAAAGGACTAATCATAAAAGATGAACTTGATAAAATGGACTTCATCAAAATTAAAAATAAAAAAGGCACTCTTGATAAAATAAAAATCAGACCCAAATATAAGAAAAATATTATATATGACAGTTGTACCAAATATATTCATATGTATATACATATGTATAATAAACTTGTATCAAAAATATAGAAATAATGCATACAATTGAATAATAAAGACAAGTCAATAAGAGACTGGGTAAAAGTCTGAAACATACACTTTCACAAAGGAGAGTGAGCATACGCATAGTCAATAAGCACAGGAAAATGTTCTCAACAGCATTAATCAGGGAAGTGCAAATTAAAACCACAGCACACCATTGCACACCTTCCAGAGAGCTACATTTTCAGTGACTGGAAATACAACTGTCAAGGAAAACATGGAACTGGAGCTTATATTTTCCTGCTGGTGAGAGCGTAAAATGACAAAGTTATTTTTCCAAAATAACTTTGGAAAATTGTTTGGAAAACTTTCTAAAGTTAAAAATACTCCAAGTTTATGACTCAGAAATCTCACTCCTACTAAGAAGAAAAATAAAAATTTTGCCCATAAAAATACTTGTATTAGAACGTTTCTTGTGGTTTTACTCCTAACAGCCAAAAACTGGAAGCAGTGCACACATCACACAATTGAGTGGTAAACAAATCATGCCCTATTCATGCAATGGAATTACATTCAACAACAAAAAAGGAACGAACATGCCAAAATGTGGATGTACCTCAAAAACATCATGTTAATGAAAGAAGTAGACATAGAAGAGTTCATATCCTATGGCTCCATTTAAATGTAGTTCCAAAACTTCAGTTCTAAACTGTAGTGATAAATGTGAAAACACAGTGCCTTGAGCCAGGAGGAAGGAAATGGTCAGGGAAACGTAGGAACTTTTTAGAGTACAGCAAATGTTCTACATTTTGATTGGGGTGCTGCTTGTCATATGGATATTTATGTGTATAAAATGAATCAAACTGGTTAATTAAGATTGGTAGACTTTAATGTATATTAAATCAAAATAAAAATAAAAAATAAAAACTATTAAGAGAATATGAGAAAGGAATAATTAAAAATGAGTGCTTGATGTGATGATCAAATTAGACAAAAATGTTGGAAAATAAATTTGAGATGATTGCTTAGAACATGGGGCAAAAGGGCAAATAGATAAAAACATAAGACAATACACACAGAGAATCAAGCCAACAATCACCTTAATGAGTTTCAAAGAAAGAGGCGGGGAGGAGAATAAATATAAAAAAGCAGAACAGGTGAAAATTCCCCACAGATGAAGGGAAACATACCTACAAATTAAAAAGTCTTATAATTTCAAGGAGGATAAATGAAAAACAACTCACATTGAGACATTTATTCTACCCCTTTTAAATGAGCTCATTTCAAGGAGAATAAACTCACATCAACACTGGATAAATTTTCAAAGCATCAAGCATCACTAAAAGCTTTAATCATTTCTGAGAGCAAACAAAGAGTTCTGGCATCAAGAAATTAATATCAGACTGGCATTCTCATCTTCTCAGAAGGAACAATGAAAGTTAGAAGATGGTAAAATCAGGAAAGATTTAGTGTCTATACCTAGCAAAACTATCAATTATAACAACAACATAATTTACAGCTATGCAAAAATTAACAAATATAATTACCATCCACATACCTTTTATAAATAAGTTTCTTTAGGATGAATTATACCAAAACAGAAGGGAAAATGAAATAATAGCTGTTTAGTTAGGAAACACTACAATTTACCCCAGAGTTCAATGAATATAATCCAGGAAAGAAACTGTACTAAAGCACTAGAACACAATCTATTAAAATCAAACAGAAAGTGATTGGGATGTAAGGGGAAATGTTCTAGCAAAGAAAGGAAATGGAGCCTTCTCAAACAAAGAAGGAGATGTGGTGAAGAAAGCACAAAATGGGAGGACTTGACCAAGAAAGCATATGTATCTCTTCCTGCAGAGAAATCAGAAAGTCCTTTGTGAAAGTGATGAGATTTTGTAGCATGTAAACAAAGCAAACACATGCAGTTAAGAAATATAAATATCATATAGTTTCTCACTAGAGAAACTATAAGGAAAAGCCCAGCTAAGGGAATGGATTTCTTTTCTAAAGTGGTAAAGAAAAAGGTAGAGTCACTGCTTTCCTCATTTTACCAAATAAGGAGCCAAAATATTTTTGAAAATTGCTGTGAAAAAAATTGAGCGTACTTTTATTTAGAAATACAACTAACCCATATGAAAACTAAAAATTGATAACTACTCAAACAATTGGAAATGAGAGGTTGTGGATGATGTGGACTATATTAAGGCTATTTAGAAAAGAATTATAGTTTAAATAATTATTCAATAAACAAGGTTAAAAGTGGTTATTTCTAAAAAACAGAACTGAGAGAGGGAAGGAAGGCACTAAATGGTTGCATTTTCTTATGCAATCCTTCTACAATAATTGATTAAAATTAGATTCTGTAACTTAGACAACTAAAAGTTAAATAATCAAATAAAATGTACATGATTTAAAAAGGTACATTAGTTAGCATAAAACATTTCATCATTGTTCTTGTTTAACTACCTCCTAGATGGGTGCACAAAAAGGCCCACCATGAAATACACACACAGATTTTCTCCCTTGGTGAGTGGAAGAAAGGTTGTGAATAAAAACAGATGAGATGAAAGATTAGTTGAAGAGTAACAACAATGTAAAGAATTAGGTTTGAAATTTCATTCATTCAGCAAATATCTTGAAGATTCTAAGTCACGTGTTTTTCCAGTTGTAAGGCTAATTATAGTGAAAGACACAATCTGTGTCCTCAAAAGAACTTGGAGTTGAAATGACTCGAACTGGGACATAAAGGCCAAAAATGGGCAAAAAGATGACTTTATCATGAATAAAAGTTTGCAAAACTCATTTATTTTATATACTTCCCCTCAATAAATTCTTTCTGTCCCAAACAAAAACAGGGACACTGGGGCCTTGAAAAAGCAACAAGTGACAGTTCTAAAGAAATCCCCACTTGTTCACTTTTTTCCACTCCACAAGGAAAGTACATCTCAGTATTTAACTAAACGTTTGCATTCCAGAAACAAACCAAAGCAAGTGTTCATATCGGTGATGAGTAAGGGACAGCCATTTCTACATTCTCTACCCTCTTTAAACCTTGCTTTGAAACAGGGACATCGGGGTTACTTTCAGAGGACTGAGGCTAACGTGTGTAGGCGGAAGGCGAGCTGCAGCTTGGGGACGGGAGCAGCGCGGAGCGACTCGCGACCCCGCAGGTCGGCTTGACTACTCACTGAGGATAGGGAAGGCGACTGGCTGCACCTGCCTTTCCTCTACTTCCCACCAGCCCCACCCACTACGACAAATACGAGTGGGAAACCCAAATACCTGCCTCTGAGTCTAGGGACGCGGGTGGACACAAAGACAAGGGGCTGGAGCTTCTACACAGGGCCCCAGGGCTGTCGCTGTAGCTGGTGTCGCCGCTACTGCTTAGTGCACCAGGCCCTGCATTTCAGGGTCTGCTACAAAAGGAGGCTCCTGGAGCACCCGGAGCTCAGAGCGCCCTTTGCCCGCGAGCAACATCAGCAGAGATCCCCAGCTAAGAACCCAGCGAGGCTCCCAGCCAGTCCCGCTACAGTGACAGGTCCCAGCTCTCGCCCCACCCTCTGCTCTTCCTCTGACCTCACAGCCTTCGCGCCACAACATTGATGAAGGACCCCGACGTCCGGAGTCTTGCCCCTTGCTCAACCCAGCGACAAAATGTCGCTATCAAGGAAGAGATACAGGTGGTTGGCGTTACAGCAAGGAAATACTGGAAGCGTGGTGTGGATGCACAGAGGAAGGGGACAGCACAGAGTCTGTGAAACGTTCAGGCGATTAGTTGGGACACCTCCTTGGGTCCTTTCTCACTGCCTTGGGGTGCGTCGGACGATTCCTGCCTGCTCCCTGCTGAGGCTACCCTGGTGGTGTCCTGGGACGCTGATTTCATGTGAGTGATGCTTGTGGAGGGTCCTACGGAAGGCGGGTTGTGATCGTAGGAGTCCCCTTCTCTGGCTTGGCCCCAGGCCATGAGACCTGGCCTGTAGGTACTAGTTGGGAAGGCCGCTCACACAAGCACTGATCTAGGCGTGGGGAAGTAGGGAAGAACTCGGACCTTTCGAAGGGGCCAGGCTTGAGAAATGGGATGCGGGGCGGAGGGAAACGATGCTACTGTATATTCACAAACGTGCTTACTTTAGTGTGTTAAAAGACTGTCAGCGGGCATGGTGTTAGCGTGGGGGCAGACGGCAATCCATTCATTTATTAAGCACCCGCAGCGTTCTCCGGGTAAAGAACAATGAACAAACCAGACTAAAAGCCCTGCCTCCATGTAGTTAACATTTTATTGAGGCGAACGTATACTAAATAAAGTTAAGAAAAGCACTGTATTTTAGGTTATTATGAGTGCTGAAAAGCAAAATAAAGCAGCGATAAATTGAAATTTTAGTGTGAGCAGGGAAGCACTGAAAAGATGATTTTGCAGTAGAGAGCTGACAAGTGAGAGAATTAACCATGCAGAAATCTTACTGAAGTGCAGTCAGGCAGAGCAACCAGCAGCCAGAGCTGTGAGGCAGAAACCCCCAAACAGGAAGACTGTTGTGGGTCAGAGTTGTGTGAAGTGGTTAAACTCGAGAAAAAAATCAGAAACCAGGAGCAGATCATAAAGGATCCCAAGGGCATCTAAGCCATTGGAGAATTTGCAGCAGTGGAGTGCTAGAACCTGACTTCCTTATCCAATTAAAAATGGGCAAAAGACCTGAATAGACACTTCTCCAAGGAGAACATACAGGTGGCCCATACACATGAAAAGATGCTCCACATCATTAGTCATCAGAGAGCTGCAAATCAAAACCACAATGAGATACCATCCTACACCTGCAAATGGCTCTCAGTAGATCAACAAACAACCAGTGCTGGCCAGGTTGTGAAGAAAAGGGAACCCTAGTGCACTGTTGGTGGGAATGCAGACTGGTGCAGCCACTGTGGAAAACAGTATGGAATTTTCTCACAAAATTTAAAATGGAACAGCTTTTTGACTTAGTGCTTTATCTTCTGTTAATGTATCCAAAGAATCCCAAAATATCAATTCAAAAGAATATATGCACCCCTGTGTTCATAGTAGCTTTATTTACAATAGCCAAGAGTTGGAAACAGCGTAAGTGCTCATCAGTAGTTTTGAGTGGGTAAAAAACTTACAACAAATCTGAGTGGTACACTTATACAATGGACCACTATGCTGCAGTGATATAAAGGAATTGTTACCTTTTGTGACAGCATGGATGGAACTGCTAAGTGAAATAAGCCAGGCAATTAAAGACAAACACCGTGTGATTTCATGCATAAGTGGAATCTGATGAACAAAATAGTTTAAGCAAAATAGAATCAGAGGCACAGAAACATGGAACAGACTAACAGCTGTAAGAGGGGAGGGAAGTGATGGGGACTGGTTGAAAGAAGGTGAAGGGATTAGACAACACATATGCATCATGATCCATGGACTTGAACAAAAGTGTGTGGATTGACTGGGAGCAGGGAGTGGGCTAAGGGGAGGGGAGCAGCAGGAAAATTCAGGACAACCGGAGTACCATAAACAACAAAAACAATTGAAAGGAAAGAAAGGATCTGGCCGGCTGCAGTCAAGATAGACTGCAGGGGACAGGGTGGAAGAAAGATTGTTAGGAGGCTTCTACAGTAATCCACAGGAGAGATGATGGTGGCTTGACTAGGACTGCTGAGAAATGGCCAATCATAGTCTTAGTGTTTTTAATTTTGGTATGTAAGAGTATTAATGAATGGTGACTTACTTTTCTTTAATTAGGTTTTGGAAAAACTTAAAAATGAATTGTAGTGTAAGTTTGGAGTGACAAATACAAGTTAAAATCATGGCTTTGCCATTTATTATTTGAATGGATTTAGACAAATTATATAATTTCTCTGAGTTTCTCTGTAAAATGGAAATATCGAGTTATAAAGGTTAAATGACTATGTACTATACCTGCCTCATTAAAGTAGTGGCTATTGTTAGTTGTGTTCTTATGTAAGTGGAGGTGAAAAGGCAGCCACATGCTGACGCTAACAACCTCAGGGAGGGCTGCATGGCAGGCCCTACAAACTCAGACTAGAAGTAACCGCTGGGATGGTCTGAACATAAAAAGTCCTAACTAAATGGTGGTCATGGTGGGTAGTCACATCCTAGGTCTGTAGCTTTCTTGACAAAGGTCAGTTTTTACCTTAAGTGAGCCTGTCTATTGTCTTTTTGCATCTAAGATAACGTACCTTTGTCAGTCAAAGAAATCTTTTTTCCCAGACCCCCGCAGACTGCAACCTCCAGTGGAGTATGATACCATAGAAACTCTGTTTTATTTTTTTATCCAATCCCAGAGACTTCCCTACTTTGCTTTCTCCCACCCCCTTAATCTAATGGATTTTACGTACACCACTTCCTTAGGCATCTTACTTTGATTCTAATGTATAGAATATGCTATAAAACTGCCATTCTCCAAAACATTCTTTTTCATTTTGTTGAGATATTGCTTCCTGGCAATATAGTCAGTTTAGCGCAAATAAACTCACAGACGTTCTTTCAGATTTGGACGTTTATGTCAACATAAGAAAGATAGTGGTGAGTGCAGCTGTGGGGGGGGGGGAAGGGATGGTTAAATCCTTTTGAAGAAAATCTGAGCCAGGTTAAAGATGACCCTGTTGTGTGGTAAGGGGGCTGTGGGAAACGAACCTTCCCTAGACATACCCCTTTTAAAATGTGCCAATTTCACTGGACAGGAAGGTTTTTGATGTTAATAGCTAGTTTTTGAAATACACGGATTGCCCTCTTACAGCTGTCCCTCATACCTCACCTCTGCTAGCCATCCTTTAAATCATTTCAGACCCCAAGTGCCCTCATAAAGGGGACAGTCATAAAGGGAAAACAATCAAGAATAAATACAAATTTCCAGTTACAAAGATTGTCATGTGGATGTACAGCATAGTGACTATAGTTAATAATTCTGTATTACATATTTGAAAATAGGTACGAAAGTGGAATTTGAAGATTGTCTATAAAAGAAAAAAATTTAGCAGCTATGTAGTTGAAGGATGTTAACAGGACTGTTGTGATCGTTTTGCAATATACTGCATACAAATATCAGATCATGTCATGTGTCTGAAACTACTGTAGGTAGTGTTACATGTCAGTTACACCTTAATAAAAAATTTTACAAAGTTTTAAAGTCACACAGCTGATTGGTGGCAGAACCAGAATTTCAACTCATTCCCTGACTACAAGATAAGTAAATAAATAAATATGAACTTTCATAAGAAAAACATAATTTTTATCTTTCTATATTTTGGTAGAGGTTGCTAAAAGGTCCCTGGATTACTGGTGGTGGCTGCTGCTATATATTTTGAGTGTCTCTAGGTTGCATTGTTTTCACAGAACTTAATTTTATTATTTACCTTTTAAAATTCTGACTTTTGACTGATAAATCCTAACAGGAGTTTTAACCTAGTTCTGAAAAGTACCGTATTTTGTAGCATTGTAATAAAGATGTTCTCAGAGTGGGGTGACTTGGCAGTTAGATTGAAAAGCAAATGGAGGAAAGAAGTTTGAAATGTAAGAATACGGATGATAAGAGAAAAAAGTGATTCAGATTACTGTCTTTATCAATTCTAATATGCCCATCTTTTTCATGTTTACATTTCCAAAATAGTGGTATAGTTTATAGTTTTTGATGTCTTCAAATCACTGTAGCCTAAGTGGCAGTTGTGACTTAGTTGTCAGTGCCCACACTTATATAAACTTGGTCATAACTGTTAATATTGTCATCAGCTGATTTAAGTATACATTTGATACATACTTATGGAGTTTAATTTCTATTTTAATTATCATTTAAAAAATGATTTATTATTAAAATGAAAAGTTCTTGTCCATACAGAAATACAGGGAAACGAGGGATGGAAGCCAAAAATAGAGCTAAATTTAAAAGAGGTTGTTCAGTAAATGATACAGGATATAACTAAGTCATAAGAAAACACTGGTTTAGGCAGCAGTGTTTTCTTTGTATGAGTAGTACATAAAATAATAGAGCATCTTAGATTTGATGAAATAACGGCACTTTGAGTGTCTTAGAAGAATATAATTTTTACCTATTTGCAATTCTGAAAGTGAAACCGGTGTGTGGGGAAGCAGAAAGACAATTTCAAATTTTTGTAGAGTTCCTATACTATGAAGTAAAATTTTAAATCTGTGCTTAAAACTTCCATTTCAAAACAATGGATTATGGACTATTTGTTTATATTTAGTTCCTAACATTGAGAGCCTGCAGCGGGGGATTTGTTATTTAAAAGAAATTACTGGCAGTTTAGAATCGGAGCGGGGAAGATCAGTGAGGAGATTGCTGAAGTGAAGGGAAGCCATTTAGAAATGATAAGAATTTCAGAAATAGTCTTTTATATGTGTGTTTTAATGATGAAGATGTCTAGATTCACATAAGTGGTCAAATCAGCTTCAACTCTTAGGAAGTTTTTATGATTAGAGGCATCTAACAATGGCTTTTTAGATTTGATGAAATACAATAAACATTAGAAAGACAATATAAAGGGGCAGAATAATTCAGATAATGCTCTTCAAAAGCTTTTTGTCATAAAAATATGTTTATTTTACTTTTTTAATTTAATAAAAGGGAAAAAGAAGTTCTCAATGTCCTCTCACCAGTTTTAACATACTCGTGCTATTTTGTCTCTCTGAATGTGTTACATTTATAATTACTGTGCATGTAATTAAGTATATGTACTTTAATCTCATTGTCTTTTTCTTTTAGCACAGACTAAGCCAGCATTCCCAAATGGATTTAGTGAATACTAGTTCCAGTAAATATTATTAGGTGTCCTTTGGTTAGGATTCATTCATTAAATACATAGAGAAATGCTTCCTAATTATATCCTTTAGAGAAA